GTATTTCAGTAAATTTATTTGATATGTAACTCCCAAACAATTAATAGGGAGTTACAAATCATCAAATCACAAAAAATATGCATTTATAATATTAATATTTTTATTTTTTTAAATCTTGATCTTCCATGTTTATTGTTTTATCAGTTTTTAATTCGCATAGAAAACACGGCAATAAAAAATTTCGGTATCGATCAAGCTAATATGGATAAACGTAATGAAAAATAAATCGACAACAATTATAAGATTAAAATGGTTTATAATGACAATCGGAGTTCGAGGTCGGGAATTGAAGAAATTAACAAAAGCGAATGTCTTGGTAATAGATTTTTATTTTTTAGATTCGTTTTAATCGAAATTATGTTCATTACGATGTGTTGTGTTTTTTATAACTCATCTTGTATTGGTAGCTTTTTTCTTTAATTATTAAAATACGTACCTAATTCACATGTTCAAATGGAAGTACATGCACGACCCATTTTCATATTGCCATATTACCGACTTTTATGAATCATGACCATTGTGTTCATGTTACTTCTATCATATGAACACAAATGTTATTTTTTAAGCTTGATACCAAATCTTTATATTTGTGTAAGTGTTTGCACCCGGTGTTCATAGCGTTGGGGTTAYGTRTTCATATATTTTATACGATATGAACAAGAGRTGAAYACGATATGAACAAGGGGTGAACAACCATATAATATCATAAACATATATGAACAAGGGGTGAATCTTAAACGGTGTGGATGCAATGCATGTACAAAACTCCAATTGACAAATGATCGCTCCTGAATATGTTTATAATTAAGGAAATATTGTTCACAAGCTGTTCATATCGTGTTCATACCTGTTTTTTTATTTATTTCTTTTCGTATAGCAGTTATTTTTATTATGTTCATAAATGCTATGCAGTTCAAGTTCATATATATGTCAAATTTTTGTTCGTATTTGACACAATGGTTCATATATATATAGTTGTGTTCATATGATTCTTACATTAACAAAAAAATCATAGAGTTTTTGATTTTGTAACTTCCAATTAATTAATGATATGGGAGTTACATAATTTTTTTTATACCTAAATACCCTTTTCAACATTGTTCACTTATCTTTATACAATTTTAAATTTAAAAAAATAAGTTTTTATCATGATTAATCACAACCATTTATTGAAAGATTGAATGACCAAGATCGGTTAACAAAGTTAACACAAAAACTTTGGTTAACATTTGATCTTACTCCTATATATATATATATATATATATATATATATATATGAGTGTGTTTATGTATTGATTACATTTCTTCGTATATGTTTTATAGCATAATCATGAACATAATAATGATGATATTGATGTGTCTCAAGAATAAAGATGTTAGAGGTGCACGGACCAATCTTAAAATATTTGTTTTGGTAAAAGCATTTTAGATGGGAAATTCATAGAAATCTAATCTTCCAAACTCTTTTTATTATTTTGTATTTTGTAACCTTATTTCATTTTGTAGTCAATCTTTACATAGAAGCCTTATGTATATGCATAATGATTGTTTTTTCGGCCACTTTCTGTGTAAGGATTCTACTTTGTTTGTCGAAAATCAATCTTTATGCATATGTGTAAACCTTTTGCCTAAGGATTGACTATAAAGTGAAAAGATGTCTGAAAATGGCTAAAAAGTGAAACTTGTTTAGCAGATTGGCTAGTTTTATAAATTTCCCATTCTCAATAGTCTGGTCTAAAGTGATTCAAGTCTAACATGATTATTAATGACTAAAGAGTTGTTCGGTGGTGGCTTAATGGGTTGTATAACCTATAAAGCTTATTCGCTTTGCCATAAATGGTTGTCCGATTACGGTTTAATCTGGAAATCAATAGCTTATTCAGTCAACTAGAGGAAGGTTCTTGTTTACATTTAGCCGACCCTTTTCCCTCACTACCCTTGGAAAAAGCACGCATCCTCCTCCTCCTCCTTTATAGATCTATCATTGCTCCTCATCCTCTTGCCCTCACCATCTTACCATCGTCCTCCTCCTCTTGCCCTCATCGTCATCTTTCCTCTTGCCCTCGATCTATTGTAGATCTATGGTGATGAAACGACCCTCTCAAATCGATCCTCGATATGTTGCCATCTTTCTCCTATGGTAATGAAACGAATCTCTTAAATTAACCCTCGATCTCTTGCCATATTTCTTTTGTGGTGATGAAACAACCCTCTCAAATTGACACTCGACCTATTGCCCTCGACTTGTTGCCTTCTTCATCTCTAAAATCGACCCTCAAATATCGACTTTATGGTTTTCGGTTTCTCCCCATGGTCTTTGCTTTCTTCTTATTGTTTTCGGTTTCTTCCTGTGGTTTTGGATTTATTTGTTCTGATTAGATGAGTTTTCTAGTCAGACACGTTTTTGATCAGATGTATTTTCTCCATATGGTTCTGTTATAATTTATTTGTTATTGGTTTCCCTATATTGATCAGATGTGTTTTTGATTTCTTCTCTATGGTTCTTTGGTTTTTCCTTGAATGTCAGCATGTTGTTGTGAAATCAGACGATAAATTGATTGATTTGGTGGTTAAATTAGTGGAACTGGTCAAAGACCTTCCAGCCTAGTGGTAAAGGCTTGGGCATGACATAGTCATGAACCCGAGTTCAAGCCCTGGGAGTGGAATGTTGGCGACATTTAAGTGGGGCCATGTTTAGCCTTCAAATTTGCCGGGGATTAGTCGGGCTTTGGCCCGGACACCCTTACAAAAAAAAAATTAGTGGAACTGAATGGTTAAATGTAAAACAAAGGGTAAAATAGTGTATTCACCATTCAGACTGTTTATTCAGTATAACAACTGAATATCAACTTATCAAATATCATACAGACAGATATATCACTAACAACTTTATCCATGACTTAATGGAACATGAACCGAACAACCCCTAAGTTAGGATCAATGTTTTAGACTAATCTTGGCCTTACTTGATTATTTTTTGGGCTCGTCTGGTCTTATTTTAATCTGGTCCGTTTGCTTTGAAAATTTTATATTTTATAAAAATTAACTAGAATACATTTTTAACAAGTATTCAATTATTATTACCAAGGTTCTAAATGTGAAGCATTGTTTAGGCGCATAATAGCGAGATCAAATCTTAAGTTTTAGGAGTAACGGCGAGAACATGTCGTCTTTGAAAGCGCGGCTTGTATCAACAAATATCTATATATATATTGTATGTATCACTTTTACTATTACTAAATGAATCCACCATATTAAACAATATAAATTAGGTTATCTACTTAAAACTAAAAAGTGAGACATTAAAAGAGTAAAA